TTTGCATCACAGGGCAACTGCTCACATTCTACCACAGATGAATAAAGGAAATGAGAAATCAATCACTTAAGCCTCTTTTCATTGTGCAAGAGCAGTGATTCATCACAGCGTATTACAGTCAGAGATAACCTATCCTCCTCTGCATGCTGCATGATTCCCAAAAAACAGACACAGATGCAAATACAATCACACCGGGTGCAGAGTGAAATATCAAAAGGTCAGCAGACAAATAAGAAGACAGACCGGTATCACTGTAAGACAGGCTGCATGGGGCTGTGCTCTCTGTCCCACAGTGTTTGTCTGCTTAAAATTAGGAACACTCTTGGAAATCATAAACAAGCCACATGGCCTGTTTGGCCATACATATTTTATTTGCCAGATGTGCCTTAGAATTCCTCTGCCTCACAAAATTGTGATTTGCAGGGATTAAAATGGGAAATGCTTAAGCCTCTTAGTGAGAGTGTGTTTATTATTGAATAATATATTATATATTCTGACTAAATTATGGTTGAGACAAACTGATTGCAAAATATTCAAACAATTCAAACACTGTATGCCTGAATGTGCCTTAAGAATGCAATGAACCCACGTGCGATTTCCTTACACATTAATTGTGCCATGTCAGAATATATGTTCCAGAACATCAACACACTACCTATAACATTTAACTTTCTCTGTTTGTCCACCATTTTAGTCTTCAATCAGGGCAGAGAAAAAGCTGCATGTCATGACTACACAACAGTGCCACACAATGGCGAGGAGAGTAGAAAACATTCCACACTTCGAAGGAATAATCTACATTGTGGTTTTTGCCTTATTAACTGCAACAGATCATCCAGTAATGTTTAGTAAAGATAATCTGTGTATCACAATCAGGTTAAAGTGGAACTGTCAAGAAACTTGTGTTTCTTTGTCACCACAGCACCGTGTCAAGACTGGATGCTAAAAATAGGTGAGTTTCAGTTTCCCCTATTTGTTTTGTTTTGTTCATGTTGCTCTTTGGGGAATGGATTTCTACAGGTGGGAAAAAGACAGACAATGGCTGTGCACATGGCATCGAGCTTTTAAGGCAAGAGCGACAGCAGTGCCACTCATGTGGTTGAAGAAATCAACAAACGCAAGGCAGACTTGGAAAAAAAAGAAAAGACAAACACAGACAAACAGATTTGATATCGTCAATTCATCATAGGAAACTGAACTT